ATTGGGAAAATCTAGGTGATGAAATAAATGTTCCTTTTTTGGTTAAGGAGACACTGTTGCAGAAGGCTGGAAGCTAAAAATATTTGTTTCTTCTAATTCTATGAAAAAAAAATATTTATGATACCACTTTCTCCTATGAAGAACTGTGACCATCAAGCATTCAGAACATTTGTTGCTGTAGAAAGCCAGCCAACTGCCTTTATAAAGGCAGAATCTCAACGATGAGGGCATCATACAGCTCTTATCAAACTCCAGAGTGCCTATCATGTTCACCCTGCTTCCATTTAGAGCCAGCAGAGTTAAGATGGGGCACAAGGAATTGGCGTAAGGAGTCCAAGAAATGTAGACAAGCAAGGGCGTTGAGGGAACATGAAGGTCCACAGAATGCTGGAAAGGTAGCCAGCAAAAGCATGCTTCCAATCAGACCTGGAGTTGGACCTACTTTCAGTGATACTTCTATCATTTCTTTCTAGCAGCACAAGTATGGGTTGGTTTTTTTTAGGTCAATCCAATGTGCTTTCCCCCATAAACATCTGCATGCTATGTTCTGACAGTGAGAATAATCAATCAGTAGAATGGCTTGCCTCCAGAAATTGTGGGTGCTCCAATACTGGAGGTTTTTAAGAAGAGACTGGACAACCAATTGTCTGAAATGGGATAGGACCTTCTGCTTGAGCAGGGTGTGGTACTGGAAGACCTCTAAGGTCCTTTCAAACTCTGTTATTCTGTAATTTCTGTTTATCCTGTGCTAGTGAGTCTTTCAGGAAGTAGCTAACAGGTTCCAAGAAGGACACAATCAAAGCAATCATCAGGCGAATGGGTTAGCTTTTACATTGCAAAGTCCAATATAGGTAGTCTTTGACATACAGTATGACTATAATGGAGCTTGCCCATTATCTTGTAAGTGTCATAAAAAAGATCGGTAATGTGATTGACTTAATTTTATGAGCTTATTTATGGTGATTATTAAACGAATCACCACATTCATTAAGTGCAGTTGTTAAGTGAACACTGTGGTCATTAAGTGAACCAATGGTTTGTGATGGGTACAGTTTTGCCAAAAACGGGAAGTGTTGGTTTTCAGGAAATGCATCACAAACAGTCATGTGGCCACAGGACGCTACAAGTGGTCACAAATATGGCTTTTTTGCCAAGCAACCAAATTTCAGTCATGTGACTTCAGAGGGGGTCTGACTGATGGAACTTCGAATCTGGGTCAGAAGTCCTCTTTTTCAGGTCAGTTATAACTTTGAACAGTCATAAGTGGAGGACTATCTATAGCTCTGAGACACAATCGCTTACATTTTAAAAAATGGCATATTGCTTTCAAAGCAATTTCCTAAGATAGTACAGAAACAGTTTAAAAACACAATCAAGAGTGAAGATAGATGAAATTAAGCTGAACTAAATATTGCTGCTAAAGCCACAACTATGCAAATTATAAGCAGTTTCGAAGCAAGCATGACTACAAGACCTCTTCCAAGACTCCAAATTCTGTTTTTGGGTTTGTTCTTATGGCAGGAGACAGCAACCATTGAGATCCACTAGTTTCACACACACCAAATTGTTTGTAGCAAAATGCTCAGATGAGGTGATGTGTCCCTACTAGGTGTAACAAATACAGTATAGCGTAGCCACGATACTTTGCACAGGACCTACCAATGCTAACTTTCTGAGGTGTGTCAATTGTGAGATAATGCTTTGCAACATATGTTTCATTAAAAGATCTTTACTTTTAAACAATAAAAAATAGAATACTCAATTTACCTAATTTCCTGCCAGATATTGAGGCCTTTCAGTTATAACCTCTTCTTTTCTCTGCTCGGTTGCATCTTTCTGGAGGACTATGTTCTCAAGACTAGTCCACATATTAGATTTGGAGCTTCAAAAGAATGATATTCTGTAACATCCTAGGCTCTCCTTCGCGATATCACCAAATCCCAACTCTTTATCCTTAGATTTTGAGGTGTTGGGGAGTTGACAAACCTTAAGCTAGTTGCTTCCACCATGATTCAAGATGTGTAACTTTTACCTCTTACTAATTTATCAGGGAGGGGAGGGGACACAATTCCCTTTTAAGCATTTTTAGGTTTTCCACAAATGAAACAGTTTGAATATAAAACTGCAGCTAAGTATTAAAGCAGGGATGGGCATACAGTTATTCCTCATTCATTTTATGATGCCCTCCCTTCCCCTCAGCACCTCAATATCGCAACACCAGAATCTTACTAGCAAAATGTCCATTTTTGGAAGCTTCATTTCTTTTTTTTTGCAACTAAAGTGGGAGCTAAATGTTGCTTCTAATCTACATTATTGCATCACCAATCTTGACTTCCTATGGACCCAGAAAACCCCAAATAGCAAGTTTTGAAATGGTTGCCTGCATTTCTATCATCACTAACTTTATCCTTCCTGTCACCAGCATTTCTTGTGGAAAAATGTAAGCTCCCTGCTGCCTAAACAAGGATCCATACATATTATCATTAGAAGATACTTTCTCAACCGAGGTTCCATAGATCCCTAGGTTTCTGTGAAAGGATGCTAGCGACTGTGATTTAAAGGGGAGGAGGGAAGCGGAAAATAAACATTTTTGAACTTTGCCTACCACACAATCCTAGCACTTGTAGAAGTAGGGAGTTTTATTTACTGTAGCTCAGCTTACTGACCATCTAACATAACATGAGCTGTAGATACAAATTTTATGCTGGGATTCTCTGAGACTTGAACATTATTTTAAGATAAGATGGAGAAAGGCTGAGATATCAGCCTATCTAAAGTAGCACTTCTTTGGCAATTCAATCTAGGCTGCTCCTCTCCTTGTTCTCACAAACCTGTCAGTCATTCTGCATCTCACTGGTGTCAAAGAAAATCAATATTGTAAAGTTTCCAAGAGGTGGTGCAAGTAACAAGCTTTCATCAGAGGTTTGACCTGATGCTTCAAGAAGTGATGTAGATGCCTTAAGCTTTTTGTGGGACAAGCATCAAGTCATAGAGGCCACCCTTGATACCTGCTTTGAACATCTACCCCTTGACTTCAACCCCCCGCTCCCCAAATAACTTTAAGGAAGTGTGCATGCTTTCACTGATAGCATAGGTAAAACCTAATGAGTACACTACTGTGATTTGGTAGTGGGCATTTTATATACTGTGCTGTTCCATCATTTTGCTCGCGGAAGGCAGATGCTGGAATGGCATACCCATGTCTTGCTATGGATTTCAAATAGTGGGGAGGTTTTATTTCATTTCAGCAAGCAACTAAATGAAAACATTTAGGTTGGTTAAGTTTACAGAGCCAATGTGGTGTAGTGATTAAGGCCTCTGGCTAGAAACTGGGAGGCTGTGCGTTCCAATCACATTATGGACACTAACCCAACTGGGTTACCTTGGATCAATCACTCAGCCCTTGGAAGCAGGCAATGGCAAACCATTTCGGAAACATTGCCCAGAAAAAACACAGAAATTGACTGGAAGATAAAATATGACTGCTTGGGTGTTTGCCTAATATGCCATGTCCAAACAAATATTTGTGGGTGAACATAAGGGCATTGGGGGCCTTCCCAGCATACTGGGTGAACTAGGCAGAGAGGTTGCCTGTAATAAAAGGAGGCCTTTCCTGCTCTGCTTCTCTTCATGTCCAAAACGACGCCCATCTCCTCCATCTGAGATGCGCTACAGAAAACCCAGCCGAGCAGAGCAAAATTCCCGCTGATTCACAGTCGTAAGCACATACGAGGCCTCGCCGAACACCCCGCCCCACCGAATCGATCGCGGAATTTGGCACACGCGTGCAGCGGCTGAGTAGCCCCACAAGGAAGGGGCCGGAATATGAAAGAGGCAGATGAGACCGCTCGGCGAAGGGCGTCCTGCCCCGCGACTAACTCTTGAGGGTAGCACCGGCTTCGTCGATCCGATCCACATGATGCTACTTAGCAGCAGCAGCAACAGCAACAACAACAACGCCTCGCCCGCAAAACTGTAGCCTCTCCCGCGTTGAACCCGGCGAATGAGCGCCAAAACCGAAGGAGGCGCTTGTAGCTCGGCTCCTTCAAAGTAAAGCCTCATCTGGCACTCCGGATCCGGCGAACTCCGGAGGCGGGAAAAGCAACGTG